GTACATGAAGTGTAGTTTGAAAATGGGGAAGGTTTGAGAAGGCAACTTGGCTCTCATTGGGAAAACATTCTGGAGAAAGACCTGAAGCGAAATGGATTTCTCAACAAAAGTCCACAACAACCCTCACAAACTGTTTTGTTTGGCAGCAGTTTAGTGAATAAAACGACTGATGTAGCACTGCGAGCAAAGGCTTCATCTCTAGCTTTGAGTGCTCCATAGTTTGGACCGGTATCTCTTACAAATCTCTATGAAGCCTGAAAGGGCTGATCACTGTTTGATCTCTATCCTATTGTTTTCTCAATTAATTCTCTCTCCTTAATTTCTTGCCATATTGAAATCCATTATTCTGCCACTCTGCTCTAAATAATGGCCAGCCTCAGGTCCCTCYGTCCCACTCCTCGCGTCATATTCTCAGCCTCCAGATTTACTCAGCACATCAGTAGCAGTTCTTTCCAGTGTTTTACTTCCTCTAATTCTCTCAGGTCTTTTCTAGCCCACTTCCTGTTCCTTGCACTACAATGAAACAGCTTTCATGAGTCTCCAGAGATCTTTCCTCAGCCAGATGTCAGATCCTCTTGAGTGGCCAAGCTCTTGCCATACTGTCAGCCTCTTCGTGGTAGAATCTTGTCTGCTGAGAGCTCCCTTCTGCTGTTAACGTATTTTCTCCTTCAATACATCCATGAGAATTCAATGAGACGTCTCCTTTCCTGTCCTCTTTTTGTCTCTGCATTTGCTGACACAGATTCAGCTGTGGTCAATGGATCTATTTCCCTTCCCTGGCCTATTTCTCTTCAAACTAAAATGTATCTCTATTTATCTCCCAACAAACCTATTCAGTAGATGAGCTTTTCTCCTCCCCATCCCCAGGGCTTCCCTTTCATCTCCTTTCTTTCCAAGCTCATGATTTTGCCTGCACTGACTAGGTCCATGTCTATGATTTTGTACTTCTATGATTTTGTACTCTCTAGGACTTCACACCCAGCCTAGATATAAATAGTGCGGGCTGCTTCTAACTATTATCTTTAAGACGCAGTCTTTCCTATTCTTCCACGTAGACTGTCACCCAAAAAAYACTGATTTTCCAGCAGAGTTATTGTAGCATTTGTTCCTCTTGCCTTGACAATGTTTAATGCTGTTGCAGCGACCATTTTCGTGGCCTGGCAATCTGAACGKGTCACCCTTCTTGGAATTGCTGCCTGCCTTTGCTTTCAAGGCCTTCCTTTATCTAGCTGCACTCTATTTATCATCTCTTGGTGCCTCTCAGCATTGATACATTGACTCCTGCCTCCAAAGGGCACACGRTAAGAGCTTCAGTTGTCCTTACGTTATGTTTCTGAGATATGCCCCTTTTGTTCTCTCCTCTCCATTAAGCAGAAATTTCTCAGTRACAATTTTAAACCAATTTCATTATTCTCCATAAAACCATTTCCTTGATGGGCTGTCTGCAAAAATTCTTGACCATATTTACATCCCTAACTGTCTGGTCAATAACAACAGTGTACTCTCCCCACCTTTCTGCCTATAGTCATAGATTGTACTTCATTTTTTAAGGGGTAAAAGCTGCCTTTTAGTTGATTGTTCAAAAAAAAAAAAAAAGTTTTCAATTACAGCTGTAGCTTCTGTCCTTTATGGCAATTCAAATAGTAATGACTAATGTAGGAGAAGTGTTATGCAGGAATATTCTCCTATACTATATATTATCAAATTCCATAGCAGAGGCTTCTGTTTTGAAAGAAAGAAATTACAAGTCTTTTCTACTTATCCTCTTTCAAAACAGTCTATTGCAAAATGTGTCTATTTTCTGCATTGCCTGGAAACGACTCAGAAAGCAGATATAGGAGACTCAAAATGAGGCTGTGATACCATCCCATATTGCAAAATTAGAGTTACATTTCTTAAAAAAAAAAAAAAAAACTTATTCAAACAAGGCTAAAATGGCATCAATATAWCATTGTGGTTTTGTATTAAAAGAGTATAAATACTACAAAAATATGAATGTAGATAATGCAGGAGGCCCCCCCCCCTTTTCCCTTTATTTTCCATGATTTGGAAATCAAAATATATTGGATGTTACATTCTGTTTGGAGAGTATTACAGCCATGTAATGATATGCTACCAKAGCTGTCCTCCACGTGTACTTGTAAGGATGTTCATCTGAATAAAGATTGTGAACAAAACCAGATGTGATTACCTACAAGTCTATTTCTAATACTTCAGCTTTGCCTAGACCTTTGATCCCTGGAGTAAAGAGAAATGCAGGACTATGTTAATCACTGTCACAAAAAGACTAAGAAAAATTTACTGCATTTTTCAGTCCTTTATAAAACAACCAAACCCAATATAGGAGTTACAGATGCAAACTGCAACCTATGCAGTCTCACAAAACTTGAAAAAAAAGTCTTTTTCATATTAGTAGAGGAGTCACTAAGTCTGGATGACAAACTTAAACGAGATATCTATTTTCAGCTGGTCAAAGTCAGCCAAAAATGTCATTCTTACCTACCAGGAAGCAGCTTATTTYGATTAAATTTTAATCAATCATAAAATCAACAAATGCTGTTTCCTCCATCTCTCTCCTGCTCTGCATTGTTACTTGCTATATTTAATGCTTAATACACATTTAATATTTACTATATGTATGTCATATTCATTTGATATKAGATCCTGGCATTATTTCATTGTTATGGGTGAACTGCATCATTTGGAGGCATCCTTTAAAATCAGAACAGTCGTCTCATTAATTGAAAACRTACTGCTCTATAGCAGAAATATGTGACTAACCAATCAAGTCATTTCATTTTGTGGCAATGTGTCACTGCACTACAACAAATTGCCTCTGTCTTCTAATTTTCTGGAAAACATCTCAGGCAGCTAAAAGTCAATGAGATACGAATGCCTTCGAGGCATTATTTCAGATACTTCATTTTGTTACTTAACAACCATGAAAAAATGGTTGGATTTCTTTGGAGAGGTCAAATAGGTAGTAAATTATGCTAACYGGACATGCATCTGAACTATAAATACCCAACCCAGGAATCTGTACCGGTGTGTTTAAGATTTTAGAAGGCCACACTCAGCAACAGCCGGAGCAGGTGCGATGCTTCCTTGCCTGGGAGGAGCTGGAAATGGCTCCCACAGATGCTGCCAGACACTGTCCTGCCTTTGCAAAAGAACAGTGGGACTTGAGGCTGAAACCCCCAGGCACATGTGCTGACCAGATTCAGTGGGGCTGCTGAGCACATTCTCACATCTGCAGGATAGTTTGCAAGATGCTGGTTTCAGTCTTCTTTCCCATTTAAACACAGGTAATTTCTCTTTGCTGCCGGGTTTTATTTTAAGATTACGTGAAGAATACATCACTAATCAACTATGAGAGCGTATCATACTTCCTCTCTTATAACCAGATGTCCTTTAGCTCACATCCTAATTTCTCTTCTTTCATGTGACTAAGGACTTTGGTTTCTGTAGCCTGAGGAAGCCTGTAACAATAAAGKATCAAACTGTCCTGGAAGAAATAAATTTACATAAATATTAAAGGCATTTTATGTTTGTTATGTCTGTGTCACTTACCTCTTTGCTTTAATCTTTCTAATAATAAAACTTGAATCCATTTATAAAGTAACTGAATGCACAAATAGCAGAGAACAGTAATGAATGCATGCAGACAGATGTTAAAATAGGCCCAGTTTGATTCAGCCTGATGTTTTGGTGCATCTACTGATCCTGCAGAATCATAGTGTCTTCTACATGAAAAACAATCATGTAATTTCTGTGGCTTACATATATGCATATATRCTATTCTCAAAATACTTTGTACTAGGGGGTAAACAAATAATGTAACCAATCTTTGACTCTGATTTAAATCAAGTTTTGGACCAAAATATTTTTAAAATGCAAAAATCCTGTTAAATTCCRTTTGAAAAATTAAAAGGGCTAGAACCCTGACCACTGACTTTGTGAGTTAGTACAGCTGCTCTTCCTTGGCTGCACACTTGAAAATCTCAGGAGGGGCTTTTCTGTTCACAGGTAAGGAGCACAACAACTTTGGTAGTTTTCTGAACTACTGAAGTCTTTCACCTGATTTCATAAAGCAGTTTCACAAATATTTTTTGGATGTTCTTGGGTCCTTGTATAATCCTAAGTGTATTTATACCGATTTTATCAGAGAAACAGAAACACTGGAAAACAAAGCAGCTACGCTGAGATGACAAAGGGAGTCAGTGACAAACAACAAAGAAGTAAACAAAGGCAGGAACAAACACTCCGTTTGGTCTTATATTCTAACCATATTAGAATATAATGACTGACTTATATTTCAGACTGACTGACTTATATTTCAGTCTTATATTCTAACCACCTGTCAGACTCCCCACTTACTCACTGCGAGATACTCATCAAAAGATGAGCTTTATCTTCTGCTCTTCTGGAACATTTCACTGACAGAAAAMTGAAGTTCTGCAAATGAATGCTGTAACCGCTTGCCTGGCAGAACGGGCCAGCAAATTAAAGTACCAATCACTTTCCATACTGTGAGACTCCTGTGCCTCATAGCACATACTGGAACTACAAGGAGCAGTTACCTTCCAAGTGGAAAGTGTCAAACTCTAGGACCACCAGTGCCTCTGGCCCCTGATCAATGATGTAGGTGCAGTTCAAGTTGTCATCATACTGACTCGGGTAGTTGGGAGACACAATGCGGCCTGTGGGGCCAGTGAAATTCACTCCACATCCTGCAAATGGAAGCAAACGACACCCAGTTATAACCCCAAGCAACAACATCTTCAGATTTTGCATTGATAAAACCACTAGTTTTGTCCCTCCTTAAGCGGCTGGTCGAAGGGGACCACCCAAGGGGAGTAATGCATAGCCTGGGGACACAAGTGGCTCCTGCCCAAGCACACAGTCGTGTCCTGGGGTGCCCAGGGCCTTCTTGCCCTGAGCATCACACAGTATCTTGATGGGTTGTGGCCAAGGCCAGGCCATGGCCCCCAGCCCCCCTGACTAGAAGAATGCAACTGTCACGTTCCTTGGGCTTTCGTTTTATCTTGAATTATAGACTTAAAWTAAGAGAGAGCTGTGCACAGTAAGACGCTAGTATAAGATCAGGGACAGGCACATACAGCCTGTGCTTGCCTCCACTCAGTGGTTTGCACGTYGCTGTTTGGTGGTGCTGACAGCAGAACAGGTATCAGAAAATCAGAAAATCAAAAGCAGCTTCAGTTCARATTTCAATGTAATTCAGTAGTGTCTTATTTTAAGCACTTATTTTCCTGCAGTTTTAATCTGAACCCAGTGAAAGGAAAGTGGCTTGCTTTGGCACAAAAAGACCCCCCCAAAATGACCCAAACTGAGCATGTCCCCTGTTCTTCCAGCGGGCTTGGCCTTCACAAAGCACAAGCCATTGTGAAGRAAATGGAGAGGCCATCCCCAGAAATGCCCTTGGGCCACATAACATGCAACTGCAACTGCAGCAACAAAGCAAAGCAATGGCCAGACCAGATATCAAGGAGTCATTTCTCCTCCTGAGAACAGTTTATGTGAAAGAAACAGGCTATCCCATACACAGGAGCAACTAACACAATTTCAGCACAGACTTTGAAAGAAAGAGTAGTTAAAAATTGCCAAACACACGGATTCTCTTCCGTTTTTCGTTCAGATTATAGCTTTAGTTTACAAACAGTTTAACTGAAGAGAAACAAACTCTTATAGCCTGTTCAAAAAGGCAGAGGTGGCTACAAGTAGCTTTACAAGTTATAGTTACAAGAGATTTTGGCCCATCCCAAGGCTGAGACACAACAGCAGCTCTGCTGCATTCAGAAAGGGAACTCCGGTGCTCAAAAGCTGAGCAGTGGCCTCAACGTCTTGCTGGGCTGAGTTACACAGACAAACAAAGCTAATCTAAAAGGGACTACCAGAACAGTCAGCTGGCTCCCACGTCACTTACTGCTCATGAAAGATGCAGAGAAACCTTGTCCAGGGGCATCCTGAGACTGAAATACTGTCGTTATCACATTGTTCGGAGCAACAACGGGGTCAGGAGCTGAACTTCCACATCCTCTGGCTAACAAAGCTGCTTCTTCATCACCACTTCCTCTCCACACCTGACAAACCCAGATTGGAAATGGTTTAGTGCTTTCAAAGGCTACAGTTGGTGGGAACACATTACCAGGAATTACACGTGCAATTAATCCTTCCTCCCATGGAGGCAGAGTGGGATTCATCTCTCACTGAAACCTAAGACATCTACATTGAATCCATGCTCACTTTAGAGTCAGTGGAGACAACTCCAAGGAGTGAGTCTCGGAATAACGTCGGGGCACTTGAAGGGGCCTCTGAAGGAGACTTGGGGCCATCTTGTTCAATCCTGCTGCAGGCAGGACCAGTGTAGATGGTCCAGGGAGCTGGAGAGAAATATGTTATGCACATGTTATGTGCATATGTTATGTGCATATGTTATGTGCATCATTGCCCACCTCCATTTTGTTAACTTACCTCCATGCACTCTCTTCATATGAATACATATGTATACAGTGAAATATTAAATGCAATCCTTATGATACTCATAATGCCCATGAAAATCCAAGCTATTATGCTAGGGTAATAAAAAGTTCCAAATTGGAAGGTCTGAGTTCTTAATATTTAGTCTTGCTAATCAAAAATTCCAATTATTGTGTTGCATCACTTGTTTAATAAAAAATATCAAATGATATATGGAATTAAAAATAATTTTTCCTATAAATACACAAAATGCAGTATTTTTTATATTATTTCAGCTGTATCAATAGCCAATTTACAGTCAAGCAAGCCACACATTCATGAAACGCATTCACGTTTAACTTTAAGTAGGTATTTCAGTGAAAACCCACTCAAGTAACTATTTGAGCATGTAYTTAAGGCTCACACTTTAAGCACTGAATTTCAGTATACATAAAATGAAACATACGCATGAGTGTTTAATGTTCCTGAATGAATAAATCATTTCTACAATCAGGATGTTTACTGGCAAGGACTTCTACTTTAGAAAAAAGTAAAAAAGGGATTTACCACAATAATAAATTTATTTTGCATCAGTGTGTTTGAATGTTTTTTTTTTCCTGGTCTCTTATAGCAAAAATACCTAAGAAAAAAAATAATAATTGGTTTTAAAAAGAATATATTTAAAAGAAATCTGAGTGGAACTTGAACAGTGATAGAAAACTGTGATTGCTCTAAGCAGCCATCCCAAGCAAAGGTTAGCCAAAGGTTACACTGTAAGTGTACACACATGCTCCTGTTCATCTGGCCAGGTGTTTGGGGCAGTGAATGCTCACAGGATTAATATAAAGAATCCGTGGCCTGGCCAAGAATGTGCAAAGTCACTATTGATTTTGGATTCCTTGTTTTTTTTGGCTGCTCAGCTAAGAATACAAAGGAGAAGCTTACACCTGCTCAGCACTTTCTCATACCCAGAGACCTTCACACGTTTTAAACTGGATATTCAAAAACAGAGCTAGACAACATCAATAATTCAGATTTTTCTCTAAGGATTGAATCCCTGTTGATTGTTTTGTCCATTTAAAAGCAGCTGTGCACACAATATTCAGGACAGATTAGAAATCTGAATTTAAAGCACTTCTATTGGGTAGCAGTAAGACTTGTTCTCTCTTAGCGAAACATTATTACAGCRTAAAAGAGGAATTAATCAGAGAAGCAGCCTTTGAAAACACAAATGTGATAATTATTTTTTCCACTACCTTCAAACACAAGTGCTCTTAATGTTTGTACRCTGCTGGGTATAGATCAGACATACAGCTGCTCAAGTTTTCCTACGTGTTGACAATTATGTTTGCCCTTTACTGCAAGTGGGAGTTGGACTGCTATGGAGAAAACGAACACAAAACCACTGAGCATAGGCCAAATGCCTGAGAAAAATAAATTACACTGAAAAATTCAAAGCATGTCCATTCTGTTCAATTGCCTCAAAAACAAGTGGCTCTTCACAACCTATRAAGGATAAGAAAGCTATCTTTGTTCTTGGAGATAAAAAACAGAAGGATTAGGACAATTTGGACAGCCTATACACATTTATAATGAAGTTTTGTAGAATTATAGTGTCATATTCATGGGGTTTTTTTATTCATCAGAATAATTGAAAAGGCCTTTTTATTACCGCATATTTCTCACTGTTTTCTTGTTCTGAAGCTATATGGTTGTTTTTTCATATTGTTCATTTTAGAGACATCATGAATGTGCTGGCAATAATTAAAAATATACATAAGCCAATTCCTGAATCACATAAAAACCAGACTGTACTCTATATGGACTTTATATTTCCTGGATTTTGTGTCTGAACAGACCTAACCATGACATGATTGGTGAAGACGATTCTGGAATTGTGGCTGATTTAAACATCGCTCTGCTGATCCCACAGCAGCCTCTGTTTTACCTTGACGTAACTGCTGCGGCAGCTCCCACTGCTATCTGGGATGTGGAAGTTCCTGTGGAAGTTCATCTCCAAGTGCTTGCTTTCATGCGTAATGATGGTCCACGTGCACCTTGTGTTTGGAGGAAAGTTCTGAGGCCAGTGSGGAGACTTGATCACACCGCTGTCCGAATGAAGGATGCCACCACAGCCTAGGGAGAGCAGTGACACGTCAGAGATGCTCCACGTTGCTGCTGCTGGTGCTCCCGCAGAGTCAGCTGTGGCTGCAGGAGCACCCGAGCGCCTGCCGAGTCATCAATCCCCCCCATTGCTCRTTTTTCATCCCCCCAAGCCTGCAGCAAAGAGCTGCACCACAGAGGAGCTCCTCTTGGTGCTTTGCTTTCTCCTCCTCCCAAGTTCCTTGTGCTTGCCAGGTTTGCCCTGACGGTTACAGGGCCTCCTGTTCGCACAGAGAAGGAAGGTCAGAACAGCCCCCTGAGGCTTCTCTCTATCTCTGCAGGCTCCCTCCCATGCATCACAGCCTGCTCTCTGTGGCTGACAGGCACTCAGAGAAATGCCCCGGGGACRAAACCTCAGCGAGGCACCCTATCCCACTTTCTCTCACTTCATAACACGCGAATATTGCAGCTCCACATGTGAATCTACTCAGGCTACATCTGTWGACCCTGGACAGAATGAGGACTTCCCCTCCAGCCCAGGCAACCCTGTGAACTGCATTATGGAGAYAGCTAAATGGATGTCTTTAAGAAATTGTTAACAGATTAATTTGTAAAGAGGAATAGCTAGTCATGGCTCTCTGTCAGCTCTTGTTCCTATACATAGTTCAGAGAAGTTGAAACATAATTGCAAATACTTGGCCAAAAATAATTTACTAGGGCTCTGCRTACAGCACTAACAATCTTGCATTGCTTCAGAGATGATGTAAGAATAAAGTAAGAGTAAAGAGTAACGTCTACTTTTTTCTCTTCAATGCAATATACGTATATATGCACATCAGCTTTAAAAGGAAGATGCTGTTTTTTCATTCTTCTACTGAAGATAATAAMAATTCTCTTTAGATGGACGTGAGCCCAGTTTTTCTTGCACACACCAAAGTGTAAATTCCCACTGGACAAATACTGAGGTAAGAAAGCAAGGGAAAGGAAGCCATGTGTTTAAAAAGAGAAATGTCCTTTCGCAAAACAGATACTGATTACACACACTGCGTACGAATGCAGTGCCTGCTATGCCAATGAAGGATTTTATGCACAAAATCCTAGTGATAGGAGAAAAAAATGGCAGAACCAGGTTAGATGATATAGACACTCCAGTATCTATTCATATAAGTCTCAACTAYTGATATTTTATAAGGATACCCTTAAGGGTATCCTTRAGGGAGRTTAGCACCCTCCAAGGGAGGCACAACRGGCCATGTGAAAACTCCTAGGTAGGTAACTAACGGAAAAGCAATCTGTATCAGCCAGAAGGATTGCACCCRTCAGTTAGCTTACTTTTCTCACCCAAGAGACCATAATTTCAACAGAAGGGAGGAGGTAACTCCTCAGAATTCACCAATTCAATCTTGTGAGTGTCCCACCTTCGAAAGGGTAATAACATCTCCCTTGAAGTGCAAGGGTTTCAAGGCTGCTGAGTCCAACACATTCTTTGGAAAGTTCTACCTGCCCCTCTGTTTTGAACCTGACTTCTTTCTAGTTTTAGGTATTTGAACAAATCAAATTGTGAAACAAACGTTATTTGAGAAATGAAATGTCTCACAGTCTCTCATACACTGCTGGGAGCATAATGAGCATGGTGTGATTTTTCAGATATCAGGAATCTGCCTGTAGGAGGCTTAAAAAGTAATTGTATGYTCAAATTTGATTTCATTGTGTGAGATTAGAGGACACTGGCTTAACTCTTGGCTATCTTAGCCCTGGTTTCTCTGAGGAATGCTGAAGATGTTAACATGTTTCTTTTGTTCTGTAACGCAAACTTACTTAAAGAGAGGAAGATTTCTTTCACGTTATGTCTGAAAAGTGCTAAGTAGACATGATGAACTAGTCTACTAACAGGCTGCCACGTTAGACTAAAGAAAAGAAAAACAATTATTTTTCTCTTACCTAAAGATTCTGCTACCCACGTTGCATAAAAGCCACCTCCTTGGACTGAATGGTCTGAGTTGAAGATCACAACCAGTTTATTAGAACCAGACTGAATGGTCCCAGGTGACTGACTTCCACAATATTGTCCTATGACAGGAGATCCGGGAGAGCCACCATTCAGGATAGTAAGCGAGTCCCACTTACAGAGCAAGTGACTTTCAAGGTGGAAGGCTGTGAAAGTCAGCTGTAACACACAAAAGCAGCACTCAGGATTTAGTGCCACTGGCAGAGGGATCAGAGCAATCCTAGCCAGATCCCACAACTGCCCCAACACAGTGATTTCTGACTGTGCTCAGCTGCCTGACCATCATTTCACCTTCCTACTTTCCTGTAAATGCTGCTTGAAATCTTGCTGTTAGAAGTAACTGCAGCTACTTGGCATGAAGAGAGAGATAAAAGAAGCACAGACAGGTTCAAAACCGGTATTAACAGGAATTAACAGTAGGCTTAAAGTTAAGTATGTGATTCAGAAATGTCTGAACAACTTTCCTGATCTTGAGGCCTCGAAATCTTAAGGTATTAAAATATTAAATTGCACATTCACATATAGACACCACTAAAGCAGAAAGCCTGGGATTTATTTCTCTTTCATTTTGAATTAGAATATTTAATGTTTGCTGAAAATAATGTTGTTTTCCCTTCAACCTGAAAGAAAAAAGCTGCCTGTCTGGTTCCTGCAGGYTCAGAAGGATCCTAAGTAGTCTGTGCTGGGCAGGCAGCTACTGCCACTCACTGCCCCCCACAATGAACCTTTTTGTCCTTGGACTGATGCACACCGGTGGGATTTCCAGGTCAAATATTTAGATCTGCTGATCAAGCAGGTTCCTGGACTTGTTGATGTTGCAGTATTGATATACACTAATGACTGTCTGGCTCTCGTTCAATAAGGTATTATTGCTATTTTCCAGAATTGGGATTTTTGTGGAAAAGTTTAGCAAATATATAGTATTTTTCCCTGTAACTTTTGTACGTATTCATCCCCAAAAGAGCACTGCCTGAGGCAAAGAGCAAATACAGACAAATTTAGCTCAAATGGTTCAAGTCTAGAATGCTACCAGCAACTGAAACTGGCAGCTTGTAATGGAAAAGGTTAGCCTGCCTTCACTGAGCGTGCTACTGCTCAATCTTCTCAGAAAAAAAAGACTTTACTTACATATGATTAAGATTAGTTCTGGTATAAATAAATCTGTGGAATAAATAGAGCTTTTGTGTTGTACTAAGATCTTCTTGTACTCTCTGAAAATGAGCAAGTACCTAGGTAGTGATCACAATACCGTGCAGCAGAACAGTTAGGACCTTGGGTTTGCATTTGTAAGAGGTATCTCTGTAGTTATAAACAAAAAAACCATGACATGGAAATTAATGGAAAATGCTAAATCTGAAACTATGCAGTGTGTTCTACAAATTTGCTTTCCAGGTGATCATTTTTTTTCCTGATCTAGACCTACAAAGTCACTGACTGCGCCTCAAAAGTTTTCCAAAGGGACTGGGCCAGTTCTCCAAAGGATCACTCAGAAACTCAGTGAGCGACTAACCCCACTGATGTAATTCATACAAACAAATATATTCAATTCCAGATTAACCATGAAGACATGGAAGCAACTTCACAGTAGTTTGTAACTTTACCTTTCTGCAGAAGAGCAAACACTTTCAGAGCTGGTGTATTCTCACAAGTGAGCACTTCTCCATGAACATTTAMCAACATGAGTTATTTTAACTCCCTACACATTGCTTTAAAGCAAAAATCAGTCTCAGGATCTTAGGGAAAAGCCTCAGGGTCAAGTTTCATTAGAACGTTTCTGTCTTTTAAAAAAGCACAGTCTAGGTTGTTTTTCTTTGTTTCTCCATTTCCTATGTAAGACTGATGGTGAAATAGAATATTTCTTCACATTTCCCATTTTCTAATTTTTTTCAAACCTTTCCCTCCAGACTCTGGGGACATTATTCACAACCAGCTGTATTCACAGKGCTCTGCAGCACTGTGTTACTCACAGTGATGGTTTGACCTTCAGGAGCTTCCAGCAGCCAGGAGCAGCGATTGAGGTTGCTATAAGGCTCTGGGTAGTTTGGACTTGAGATAACCCCACTCTCTCCTGACTGTATCCCACCACAAGCTGGAGAAAAAAAGATAACAGTTCCTTACATTTTAAAACTGAACACTGTAAGCAAATGACTSAAATACTATTGAACTTTAAATAGTACTAAAACACATTTAAATAGGACTGATATAGGTGAGGATAATCAATTCACTTGGGAAAATCCAAAATATAAAGTATTTTTCTTTGAATAGCAAGTAAATAGATTCAGTGACCTTGAAGTTTGTATTTATTTTAGCACTTAATACAGCTTTGCAAAACCTTTGCCAGCTGACACTTAGAGCTGCAGCTGCCTCTTCTACCTTATCTTCCATTTACTTCTCTCAGACACCTACCCAAACCACAGCCGTTCCTAGAGCAACACAATCAAGTCAGAAAGTTGCTGATGTGTCTAGATAAGCACCAAGGCTAAATTCAGCTGTGATGAGAAGAGCAGTTGTGCTGCAAATGGCAAAGTGGTGTAATTTGCACTGATACAGCTYGGAGCGGGGTTCAAAATGAGTGCAAAGGTTCAAGCAGCAGAATGTGTCTCRGCCGTGCTGGCATTCCGGAGGCCTATTTGAAGTAACTCAAACTTGGCTCATATTACCTGTTATGCTCCTATTCCCAAGGGAAACCAGCTGTTCTGAGTGTTGCACTGCAYTGCGAGAACTCGAACGCAGTCTGGAGAATGGCAACAGTGAAGCAGAAAATAAATCTGAGTTTTCAATTGCTAGCACATGTCTGCCTGAGATGGATATAAATAGCAATGGGCCTGTGCAATTTTTGAGGGCTTTTGGGGAGCTGATCCCATGGTATAAATTTTCAGCATCACCAGATTAATGGCAATAATTGTGCCAAAACTGCCATAGCCACCGAGGCAGTCATGCCATTTACCTTCAAATGTGTAACGGGCTGAAAATCCTTTATCTTCTGTGTTGTCATCACTGACAAAGCGCACCCAGATGCGGGGGGCAGCTATTGCTAGTGGCACCGATGGTGCGGCCTGGCCGCAGAGTCTGGCTATTAGCTCCCCATCAGCATCCCCTGAGTGAAAAAAAAGAAAAAAAATACAGTTTTAAAATCCTAAAATAACTCTAGTAACTGAAAGGAATACATACATTCATATGAATAGATGCAAAACACACAGGCTGTTTCTTCAAAGAAGACAGTAGAGCCAGAGGGAGAAGCTTCAGGCTCTGTTCGAAGCCCTGTCGCAGGTTATTCCAAGAAATGTGGCTGAGGAGCTTCATCTTTCTGTCATATGCAATGACAGCCCCCTGGTAAAATGCTTTGTAGCAGAGAGGTACTAAAATTCTGTTAATGTAAATTACACAGAAAAAAAATGGTGCAATTTGTCTTTCTACTACATGTCAACAAGCACTAAAGAAGATACTGGTATGTACTAGCAGAAGATATTCATAAGTAGCAGTTTTAGAAAAAAACAGTAGTGATTACATTGACTCTTAAAGTGTGACATACACTTTTCCTTTTTTCGTACTTCCGTGACAGTAGTAAGTTTGTTAACTTGGCCACAAGAGTGGCCAAGTTAACAAAATCTCTTTCTCCCAAAAGTATAAAAAGATCTGGACACCTATTGCTGCTTTCATGGATGTCCAGTTGGCCAGAAATCTAGACTACTGATAAGCAAAAGCATTCTTACAATCAATCTGTGAGATTTGGCTCAAACTGAAGGGAATGGTCTGAAAAAATAAAATCTAATATCCACTAAAGCCAAAGCTYCCTGAACCCAAGAGTAAAGTGCATATTGAACTGTAGTAATACACACAGCTCTACTAGCATGTACAAATTACATATATGTGACTGATATMATAATTTAATGTTAAGCTTTATGTTATGAAATTTTAAATATTTGTTTTGTCATTGTGGATTAAATATTCCTCAGTGAATACAGAAAGTCTTTTCTGCCTTTTATTCGTATGTTGTCCAGGTGACTCAAAAGACTTTTTCATCTCATTTTGGTTTGGCATCTCCTAGGTAACTATTGCTGCATTAGAGCTTCCCCCAAACTCACATCTGCTGCGTTGAGAGTCTCAGGCAACATCTCTTGGAGCTCAGTGACCTTCTGCACCACTTGCATCTCCGTGCTCCCTAAATGCTGCCTGAGAGCCCATGCAGCAGAACTGACACTCTGCCTTTGACATGAGACTACTCCTGTGCAATCAAAGCTCCATTAGTATGGCCAAAGTGAACATTTCTACTCATATAGCTAAACTGGTTAGAGCAAAACAAGACTATGTTTTTTCCCTTTCCTTTGACTGTATTGCCTGAAGACCTGCGTTTACAAAGGAATTAGCGTAGTGGGAATTGATGGCTAACTGACCGGGTATATTTTATTTGTTTTTCTCTGCTTCTCAGCTTTCCCAGCTTCAGTGGAAGCATGGGAGGGAATTCTTTAGGCTATACAGCAATGTGTGTTCTTGCTCTGGATAGAAAAAAAACCCAATGCTTTGCAATCAAGAATTCCTATTCAAATGAATGCAATAAGGATGTAACAGATTCCTGCCCACCTTTCAGAAACAGTCCTCCTCACCTTTCAGAAACAATTTCCTAGTAAATTAGAGTCTGCTCTCCCTGGGACTCACAGATATAGCCTCTCAGGGAGGACAATACCTGGAGATTTCATACTACACTTGGCATTAGTTGAGCAATTTTCATATGACATTTCCTGCTGCTTGTCCTGATAGACAGCTGAAGATTTTCAAACATATGGAGATACTCCTGGTGCATTAGTGCTGAGATTGCTTTCCTCTTCAGTGTTTTAGGTCTGTGTTTTGTGATGCTATAGCTTGGGAAAYACAGTTTTGTTTTTGGAGAACCACCTTTTAGGACACAAAAGCATAAATTCCAGAACCTGTGAATATTTAAAGCATTTTTTATGTCACTCCTACTGTCCCTGGAGGCATCTCAGGAGAAGGGAGAGAATGGCTTGTGGACCAACTGAATTGTTACGATGGCTCCAACCTCTCCCTAACTACCATCTTTCAAATAGGAAGAGGTGAAAATTCATGTCTGATGCAAAGACAGTGTCAGGAGTGTGTTGCAACCTCCATAACGATTTATTCTCCACAGCTACTTGTCCACTCTTGCTTTCYGCCTTCCACCTCAAAACAAAAGGTGACTACCTTCATGCATCCATTACGCTAGGAGAGAAAACCCAYTCCTGGTCTAGGAAATACATGTATTGTAGCCACAGTATTCATAGGCTTAATCCAYACCACACTGAGCACACAAACCTATTCGTAATTCCAGGTAGTCATACTGGCAGTCCTGGTGATGCTCCAAGTGGAAATCCTCAAAGTAGATATATGTGGATGAATTGTAGTGGGAGGGGTTCTCAATGGTCCATTCACAGTTCAGGTCACTTGTGTAATTCCTAACACCATCATAACCAGGGGAAGAGAAATTCCCCCCTGCATATCCAACAAGGGTTCCACCACAAACTGCAGAAACAAAATACAACTTATTTTAAGTTAGGAATAATTTCAAAAAAAACATTCTCCATTAATTCTCATATGCTCATATGTCATTCTCATATGTTAGCAGGGATTACATCAAAATATGTTCCAACTTCTTCCTTTTTTTATAGTCTATTGCTGTATACATGAGAATTTTTGTTTAGTGTCTGAAAGTTATTGCTTAAAAACACACATCTGAAAAGCAGGAGCAACAATTATTCCAAACATCAAATAAAATATTTTAGTAGCACTAGCAATAGGACGAGCATTATTTAGCTTTTTGATAAAGTGACATTGCACATCCTGCTCAGCAGGGCTTAGCCCTATCTGTTATCTATCCTACACTCAAGGGAGGATAATTTCTCTGGCAACGTACCCTCAAAGGCAATGCACTGAGGCTCCAGAGAACATATGCTTGAGGGAAAAATCCAGACTGAAAGACACAAGGCTATAATAATAAGGCTCTGCCAGCTGTCTCCTCTCTTGGGCTTACAAAATAGGTTATCTGCACTTAGACAAGCTTCAGTAAATTACTCACCCTCCTTGGGTAATATGGAAGTGCATGAATTATTCAAATTGTCTATGTCACTATGTCTTTGGGATCTTTTGTCAGTGCATCTTTTACTCAGTACTAAGTAGGTAAAGACAATAAATCTGCAGTGGGAGTAAGGAGTATGATCCGTGACAGGGATTGTTTTTCCYTCCATTTGACATTTGACATAATAGGAACATGAAGTTCATAACTCCCAGACACTCAACATTTCTTTAAATCCTTTCAGCTAATTAAAAATATATCATCTGGTCCCATCCAGACATGTACAACAGAAAAAATGTTATTAGTCTAGGTCATTTTCTTGACATTCATCAGTACTTTAGTTATGAAACCACTCAATCTAGATCAATCATCTGAGATTAACTCAGAAACAAATGGTACCTGCATCTTCATTAGATGTGTATGAGATGCTGAAGCCTCTTGCTGTAACGGATGCATCTGTCACCAAAACTACTCTCATGGTGTTTCCAGAAGATTTCACCTGAGTGCCTGGATTTGTCTCACCACAGAGCTTTGCCAGACGGGGGGAATCCAGGCGGAGGCCATTGTAAACCTGTTGGGGCAGAACACACTCYTATTTAAGAGATCTATGTGCAGTAGCACTGAAAAATGCTTCACATCTTCTACATGCAATTCATTGCTGTCCTTTACAGAAGGTTGACTTCAGTGGATGGCGTTCAGATGTAAAATATTAAAAATCCATTTTGGCAAAACATAAACATATTCCCAACATAAACATATGGATGCATATTGAAACATTTTGGGGGGGAAATTATTCAGTATTTTATCCCAATATGTAGAGCTTGAATCTCTTAATGCCAGATACCAATCATTTTCATTCCATTTCAGATGATCATCTTCATATACTTGTTATGGCAAATATCAGCTTTATCAAAAAATCTATTGCTAAATATTCAGTGCCAGTGGGCATTTTTTGATTAATTCAAACATTTCCATTTTTGATAAGCCAAATGAATTTTGAACAGCTTATTTCATACAGCCTTTAGCCTAGGAGTTATTTTCCTTCCTTTTACAACTATCTCAGCAGCACAAAGCAGGAAAGGCATTTTCCACGGAGACTTGGCATAAGTAAGAGCACTGATGACACAAAAGCAAGCAGGACAGCTCCTATTTTCAGCAATCAATACTTCTTYAATTGCTAAAAAGTTGTCTCCCATGGTCTGCACAAAGTATCTGGGCAGGAAAACAGGGAGGTGAACATCACCTGGGTACATATTACAAAGGAGAGCTACTTCTCTCACTTGTGCATGAGCTAACTTCTGATTATGCTGAAGCTGATTAATGTGTTGCACCACCCATACCAGCAAATGGAAAACTAAATCACATCTATGGGTAGGAGCCAGTGCACAGATAATACTTAGGGACCTCTGTGTCGCCGGAAGAGGAGCAGCTGGATCTCTTGCTCCCACTTATTTCAGCCTTTCCCTTAGACTTCAGAGCATCACACTTCACAGCACACAGCACCCTCTCACATTTCTGATGCTTTCATAAGGGAACCATATTTCTGAGGCCTTTGTACATCTGACTAGGCCCAGCTCTGTGTTGTGATAGTTTTGGTTGGTTGGTTGGTTTTGTTTGTTTTACTTTCCACTGTGACCAAATTCTGTTTGGAAGTGAAGGTGAATGGAGAGAAAATCCTGGATTTTCCCCATCTTCCTTGCACAATTTTTGAGCATCAGAAATTTCTTACAATTTCTAAGAGTCTTATTTTTCAAAATTATAATAGAACTAACTACCTCCAAAGTCAAGAGACTTGAAATTCGACCGATGGGCTTTGTGTCCACATATAAAGGAAAATAAGGATAAGGTTCTTTCCTTTATGTCTTTGATAATGTTCTCATTCCCATTTGTCCTTACTATTCCTATGGGAATAGAAGGACACAAAAGGATTGAGGAGGCTGACAGAGAGACCTAACAATGTTCAAGTTGTATTGTGAGAACCCTGTAGCTCCTGTGCCAGAAATAACCTGGATGCCTAAGAGACACTGGGGAAGTTGGAGGTGCCCCTGCCCATTATTAAATTTATTAAGTTGAAAACTGATTCTTCAAATCTAAAAGCCTGTCCAATAAATTACAGAACATCCTTACTCTAAAACAAGTGCATGAATTTAGGCAACCCTAAAGAGAGCTTTTTCTCTTTATCTGTTTTCTTTGAATGAAATTATGATTTGTCTTAAACCCAGAAATACACATATGCATGACAATTCAGCAGTATCATTTCTATCCACATTCTCCACCAGGATCAGTAACAGCATTTTGTGCCCTCACACTTGATACTTACAGCCACATAATCTGATGAGCACCTCCAGTGCTCCTCAGTTTTCATATCATTAATAGTTAGGGTGACACGTTGGCCTTCTTCCACCGTGATCCTCCATTCACACACTCGATTATGCGGGTACAGGTTAGGATAGTTGGGTGAAGTAAATGTTCCAACGGGAGCACTAAAATCCCCACCACACTCTGGAATATCCAAATGTTGCAACACATCTTTGAATACAGTATTGCTTATAGAGATATAGCAAAAATACATTAATTATGCAGGAAAAAAGAGAGCCCAGCTACTTGATTTGTCTGCCTTGTTCATGTTTGTCTAAAGAGCCAAGTTCCTGTCAATCTTTGCCACTCAGCCACAGAAGTAATTACACTGGAATATTAATTGACCATAGAAACTAATTTTTATCCAATTAGTATTCTCTTCTCTGAGAGGCTCAAGCCAGACTTCCTCTCTTTTATAATTGTTTTCCTCTTAAAATACATGGATATCATTTAATGAAGTACCATGGGAGATGAGGAGGTGAGCAAACTTCTAAGCTTTTGCATCGTCAGGTCCCTCTCCCCACTTTTCCACAAATCTTTTTGAGCACAAGGTGCAGGGGAGAAAAAAGTCACTCAAAAGCGTTTCTTTTATGCACTAGAAATTTAAGAATCTCCACTACAGAGGTACAGGAAAACATAATGAGAAATCACAGCATTTCTCTAAACCTTTCTCCTTGACAAAAGGGATATGGGAAGGGTATTGGAGGGCATCCCTGGACTGACTTGTGGAAAGATGTGGAAGAGCAGCCCCACTGTCTGCACCAACTGCTGAGGGCAACATCTCTGCAGAGCAGAGGGCGGCTTGTCTCTCAAGGCTTGTGCTAACTAGGGATCAGAGAGCTSTATCCATATATAAGCTAGATATAGCTTATAGATAGACCACGCCAAGAAAAAGTGAACTAGAATGTGTGCTGTACTATGAGAACTAACAGYTCTAGTGTGTGGTTTATGTTGCATCCCCGAGAGAACTCGTAACCTTGTAAATCCAACCTTCAGCACTGGAATCAAAGCGCAGTCTGAATCCTCGGGCATTGACTGATCCATCAGTGACAAACTTGACATAAGCAAAACTGTCAGAGGTGTCCACAGCGTCAGGGAGAGTATTACCACAGTACCTGCCCAATACATTTCCTGCACAAGTCAAACACAGAAAGACAATTTCGTATCAAAGACATTATTTGCATTTATATTGAAGGATCACTTTTCAATTTAACTAGCTGGACAGGAGTAAACAAGTCAAATGAAGTCATTGGGGGAAATGGACGGGTTTTRTTTGCACTGCTTTGCTTCAGCAAGCAAGGCAGACAGGAGCAGTGTGCATTTAAAAGGCTCTCGCTTTACACACAGTGGGAAATGCCTTCTGGAAGCTCCTCAGGGGGTTCTTTGGCAGTGTTAAGGAAGGGAAGACAAACATTGAAACAGTTTGCTGACCAGAGGCGTTGTACTCTCGGATCTCCACAAAATCCTTTGCACACTCTGAGGAGTTCTGGATATCTAGGCCTTCTACTCTGATGGTAAGATAGTGGCCCCTGGGTCCTTGCAGGAACCATTCACACCGCAGGTTATCCTCGTAAGGAAGGTCAGGATACCCCACACTTTCAATGGTGCCTGTTTGTCCGGTCACTGTCCCACCACAGGTTGCTGCAAAGGCAAGGACATTGCTCACTCCAAGGAAGGACCTAAGAGAGAAGCTTTTCTTACACAGGACTTTAAGCTATAGCCTACAGTTTTGTAACTGAGGTAATACAGTAGGAATTGCCTTTCGATTCCACATTCTCCCTCTACTTAATCCAATCCTACTTCGTCTGTAACCAACACTCTTCCACTCTAAACATCCCTTTCTCTCTGACTTGTCTGTCACTAACTCAAATAATCTCAAAGATTTCAAGGTCTGTATATAGTTTCTACTAATATCTGTGTTTCTGGAAAATCCAGTTCATCTCAAAAAGGCATAAAACATTTCACAGTGTATGAAAATCTCTACTGGACAATTACAAAGAAACTTAGTCTACTAAACACTGATCAACATATTCATAAGGGACCAAATTTGACTGCTGGTTTGGGAGTCAAATTTGAATATGGTTCCGATTCTTATTCTCTTTCCTGCATTCCCTTCCTGCTTCCATACCACTCCTCCTGATGCCTTGATTAGGGATCACGTCACAGTTCCTTTTCTTTTCATTTCTTGCTCTCTGAAAATTCATTTCTTTGTGGTACCTACCAAACACAAGTTCATAAAACGAAGGCTTAGAGCAAATAATATTCCCTGGTGGAACACACTGGATTTCACAGTGTATTCCGTGTGCCTGCCAGCTATATCCTTCTCATGGCAATGGTGACAGGTACCTGCTCGCCCTGTACAGCTGTGTTCATTTTGCCTACTCTAAGCAACTAGCGCTCTATTACAAGTTGATGGACAGCTGAGACACTGAAAATCTTTTACAGATAAATATAAATTGTACCTCAGCATGCCAACAATATTTTCTTACAAGTGGCTTCAGTTTTCACCTTCAGAGATATATTTCAGAAATATACAGCATGATATATTTACTAATGTGTTTGAGGTCTAGCACGATCGACAAAATCCTGTGTAAAATAATACAGYCTTTGCCTTTGAAAAAATAATAGACTTAGATGATTTTAAATGTGCGACATCAACATAATAGGTGCTGTTCCTTTAAAATTATGAACACTATAAAAAGGTAGAGTACCATATTTCTGAATCTGATCAAAGACTATTTTTAATTTCTTTTTAAATCTTTACTAATCTTTTCCTCTTTTTTTTCAAGTTTGAAAGCTAATAAGAAGGTCTTTTCCCAGAGGAAAGTCCCAGCTGACAGATCAYGATTCTCATCCCCCATTCTTGTTCTGCTCCGTTGTTTGTCTAGCAGCATTGCTAATATGCACTGATTTGCATTTACATAGAGAAGCTCTTAATTTATTCTTTTCTGACAACTTTTGGCTGATCTTAGCATTCTCTTCCAGCTTCCTGCTCAGCTTTTCAGCTAATTTTGCATACTGAAAACCGAAATATATTACCTGTCTTTATCCACCTGGGCCTTTTTGCTGGAGTCCCTTTGTCCCTTGTATTTGACAAGGACTTAACCCGTCTTTATTTCCTCCACTGCAGATCTATTAGTGTTTTCCTGTTCTGCTGTAATCTGCACCTTTTGGGAGGTGRAGTAGATGCTGATGTTAACCTTACAGTGTTTCCCATGCCTTGGCTCTCTCAATAATTGAGAGAGGCAAGAATCTGTTACACCACCTCCTATAAATGATTTAAGCTCCATTACAAAAGCCTGTGACATGAGCTCCACATCTTTTCTAGCATTAGAGAAACTGAGAAATGCAAAGTGTTACCAATGGAGTATTTGGCATTGAATCCCACATGCGTGGCACCGCTGTCCGACCTGAACCTCATGTACATGCTGGCTCCTGAGGATCTCTGCGGGCCTGGCCTCGAGTCTCCGCACAGCTTGGCAAGGACGGGGGCGCCGGCGTCAGCACCGCTGCGTAGCTCGAGGTAACTCGATGTACAGCTGGAAGGGGAGAGTTTGCTATTCGGTGTACAGCACTAATGGCTTTAAAACATATCAGCAATTACACAAACACACGAAGCTGCAGTGAGTTAGATCAGCTCCCATACRAGGTGAGGAGGTCAGAATCAAGAAGCTCATAATCACTGATAGTTCGTGACAGATATGCAAATTCTGCATCAAAAGAAGTGCTAGAAGCATAGAGAAAAACTCATCAAACTCATCCCAAACCTAGCCTATGTCCTAGTCTGACCAGACATGAGAAGTATGAACAGTGCTAATAAAGTAATTGTAATAGTCTTTATCGTACACATGTCTGCCCATGTTGAGATCCAACAGATATTTCCTATTAAGCCTATTTGTTGACTGCTGAACAAGGCACAGTCATAAGATCAACTGTAGTATTTGGGCACAGAAAGGCCCAAAACATCATAATCATTAGGCTTTGCTTACAGAATGATGAGCAGTTTATAGAAAACACCTTCCTACTGTGCAGCAGGAAGGTGCCTGTTTTACTGATCTCTATCATGCAATGAGAAGTCTTGTATATAGACAGAAAYAACTTGATGGCCTCAATAACCTCTCTCAAAAATTGTTACTTTTGATTAATTCTGGGAGGAATTAGTGAAAGGAATAGAGAAAGAAGGAATAGGGAAAAGGAAAGATGAATCAAAATAGAGTCTCTCAGGAAACACAGGCAACAAGACATAGATATATACTTTGGTGAAGGTTCAATGTAAAACTGATCTTCAAAYTGGAGCTCTACCGCATGTCCGTTAGGAGCAGTTATGGTCCAGACACAGTCAACATGCGGCGGATAATTGCTCGGATAGTTCGGGGAGGAGGTATATCCACTGGGATTGAATTCACTGATATAAATATTCCCTCCACAAGCTAGGAAAGAGAAGATTATCAATGTAAAACAACATGTTAAGGAAATGGGTGAGGCGTCAAAAATATGAGTCATCACTATATGCTAACGAAGTTTCCTTTTGGTGTCCTATAGTCATGTCAGAAACAAATGCTTTTTGTATTCCTTCTGTTGGAAAATATTTTGATGCAGTGCAGAAAGCCGAGCTTCTGTGCTCCTGCCTAGGCAGTTCTCCTTCATTTCCACATGTTCAGAACTCTCAATTAAACTGCTAATAACTCTTGGACTGCTTTTAAGCCCAGCAGGAAACATGCTTCTTGACTTATTCCTACCCCAGTTCCCAAGAGCTGGAAAGCCAAAAGGTCAGATCCATCAGTTATTCTGTGAATCATTCCCTACTTCTGCTTTCCAGAAACYCAAATGCCTCTTTGAGACAATAATGAATCTGTGAGAAATGCCAGTCAGAGCAAACACAAGGACTTTGGCAATTCCTATCCCACAAAAATATCCTTACTTTCAGCTAAAAGCTTTCAGGGGAAAAAATGTTTAACAATGCTTAAAATGCATTGTTAAAATGCAGAGGGACCTGGACAGACTGGAGGACTGGGCGGTGAGAAACCTCATGAGGTTCAACAGGGGCAAGTGCA